GTGCGTGGCCTACCTACCTTCAGCTTGGAGACTGACATAGGGCATCTCCCCTCTAGCTCTCCGCCTTTACCCCGTAGGTGAGGTCATTTCACTGTACTACAGACTCCCAAGTGGGTAATAGGCCAAGGTAGAAACAGCCAACGGTGGCCAACAATAATCAAATGCTCACCAGGTCTGGGTGGCCAGACAGGGATCTAAAGGCTTATAAATGTCTCAGATTTAATGCCTCCTGCTTTGGAGTTCTGGATTTTTAATTTATAAAGGGTGTTTTTAGTATTCTATTTTAGATAGATACTAGACAGACTGATGAACAGAGTGATTTAGGTATGTATAAGTAGGTTCTTGTATCTTGCCCAGCAAGCTAGTCAACATGTCTAACCCTGGCTATATGAGAGAAACGCACTTTAAACTGCTTTCAGATCAACTTCCAGAACACAGCCATCTCCCTTGCCTGGATCTCTCTGTTATTAATGCTTCTCACCTTGCACTATAATTATAAGCATGTGGTCTCATTTACAGACTGTACATTCCTTGGGGACAGACTCTGTTTCTGATCACTTCTATAGCTCTGTTGTACCCAGCCTTGGCCTTGCACACAGGGCAAGATATGCAAGTTATGAGTGGCTCATAACTACCCACCACTACCCAGAGGTGTGGAGGTGCTGAAGGAAGGTGGGCAAGAAGGGGCGGGACACCACCGGAAAAATGGTGTAATGACAAGTGGCATCTTAACGCCTTTTTAAGGAAGAAGAGTTCACTAAAGACTCTCCCAAACTTTCCCAGGATATATACCTAAGATGTCAGCCACATCCGAACATTTCCCCATGTGACTGCACATAAATAGAGTCACGTGACAGGGATCAGCCCCAGTCTCCTTTGGAGGGTCTAAGACTGAGACTTCCTTTCAATGGGCCCCACCCCAGCTCTGCAGCTCTGTCCGGGCCAACGGTGCTCAGAAGGGGAAGCCAGTTTTCTTTCCGGTAAGAGCCACAGCACCAGAGCTCTAGAATATATAGCACTGTCACATATGGGACAGTAAACTACTGCTTACACCAAAGGGCTGTATTAACTTTCTGCATCTCAAGATTTAAAATATTTGCTTGGAGAATAAACTATAATAATTATAAAGCCTAACAAAAATGCCTCTGCCTATTGAAAACAAATTATGACATAATTCAAAGGCTTAGGGGGACTTTCCCATTATTAATTTCTGTTTTTCTCGGCTCTTGTTCTAGCTCCACAACTAGTCAGGTATACACAAGCCTATACAATTTACAGACCTAATCAAAGGAGAGTTCTGTGTAGGTAGAACCTAGTGGTGCCCGTAGGCTTTGGAAAGTGGTTATTTTGCATCCTCACTGCTCAAAGATGGTCATTTTGCCTGGCCACTCAAAGGAACGATGTTATCACGCAAGGCACCCAGTGTGTGGGTTAGTTTAACAACAAAGGATACATGATTTTCTGGGCAGTGTAATACCATAATTTAGGTAGAACTCCATGAGCACAGTGTTTTCCAGTGTTAAAAGTCCTAGTAAAAATGACTTTGAAGTTTTTACCAGGAAAAACTGGTAGTAGTGTATGGCAATCAAGCACAATTGTTTATTTTCCCCAGAACCCGTGTTTCATCCCATGGATGGCCTTAGCCTCAGAACTCGCTGCCTATGTTGCTCAGCTGAGGCAGCAAAGTGGAAAGCAGGAGGAATCAGAACCCCCATTTTTTACCTAGGCCCCCTCAGAGCAGAAGTGCCGGCAATGCTGGCCCCTGGCAGCTGGCAGTGGCATCCCTTCTACCCACTGCCCTCAGCTGAAGGGAGCAGCTACCCTCCCCTTGGGGCAGCCCACATCTCAAAATGGACCATTACAGGGATGATGACAAAGGCTATTGCCTGCCTCAGTGGAGGCCAACCTCAAGTGTCCATCCCAGCTCTACAGCTCCCAGGCTGGGTTCGTGGATGTCTCTCCACTGAAACTGTGCCTGGGTCACCCAGTCACAGGTACTGTACAAATGGCATTATACCTCAATGGTAAACCTCTCCCTCAGAGTCTGTTTCCCAGGAAATCTGATGTAAGACAGTGAGGAATCACATCTTTCGTGGTGAACACTGTCATCAAACTTTGAGATGGAACAAAGGATGGAGGGTAACCAGCCTAAGGAATGTTAAGCAACCTGTGACTGACCTCCCTTCCACAGCCCTGGGGAAGCTGGCCTGGCTAGGCCAGGGACTTGGGCAGGGCCCGGCCTAGTCCCCTCTTAGCTCCTGCCACAGAGATGCTCACAAATCAGCTTTGATCTCCATCCAAGAGCAGTGGGCCCTATGCCAGATTTCCCTGGCATTTAAAACTAGCATCTCAGTCCCAGCAGTTAGGGACTCAGTTAGGAAGTCTCAGTTAGGAAGGGGCCTAACTGATTCGTGCAGCCCTGGGCCAATCAGGGCAGGGTCTGCATGGGACATGAGTTTTAGAAATAAATGATAGATTTGCCAGGACTCTCAAATTAACCCCAAATAGTTTAGTGTACCCACACGGTGTATCCTTTGTTTAGCAATGAAAATGTCTGACAAAGAAAATACAGGCTTTATATAATGTCACAATAACAACAAAGTGGGGTAAAAAGTAAAGGAAACTAAAACACACTTGAAATACAAAAAAGAAGTGGCTGGCAATGCTCATAAAATTCAACCCTACAAAAGAAGGCAACAGAGAGATTTTAGACCCAACATAAAATAATATGAATAGAGAATAACTGCAGAGATGACTTTCTTGTATACTCAATATTAAAGTGACTTTGTCTGTGTCCAATGTGCATTTTATCTCTGTTACTGGTCCAAAGGGGGGAAAAAACCCTGTATGCTCTAAAAAACACTTATAAATAGGAAGATCCAATATGTGGAAAATGTATACAGTACATATTGTGATCACTTACTTAAGACAATGATCCACCTGAAATGATCTTAGAAAAAAAAGATAAGGTGCAATAAACACTTCAGGGTCAATCATGAGTAAAAAGGTTTAGGATCATTACTAAAGACCATCATATCCAGACCACAATATTTAAGAAGACAAGGAGTCCTACTAAGTTAGATCATGGATTTAAGTCTAACCTATTAAAAGGCCAAATTGAGAATGCCGTGATCATTAAGAGATTCCAGAGCAACTGTGAGACAGGAGGGAGGCGGTCCTCTTCCCATCTTAATTCATTTGTAACATATAGCCCAGTACAGGAAAACTACATGTTTAAGAACATACTATGAAAACTCCCAAGGGCTCTACCTGTATAAAGGTGAAGTATCTACACATATTCACACCATCTATCGATCCTGTCCAAGGACTGGATCCTGGCAGTGATTTCATCCAGTGGTTCCTACTTTTTTCCTTTGGTTTCCATCACATGTCTTTTCTAGATTTTCCCAACCAATCTTTGAAACTGTTTGTTTAAAGAAGGTGACTTGCTGCCACATTCAAAGTTATAAAAACAACCACGTATGCCCTGTGGCAAGTGCTGGTTGGCTGATCTATTAGCAGGTCACCCTTGTTCTTACTGAATACCTGCTATTTTCCACAAAAATCATCATCGAAGTACTACTGAAGGTTACAGTTTCTATTTGTAGGAATCTGGCAATATATACATTTTATACTTGATGACTTCTGATAGATACATGCAGTTTACAGAAATATTCTACACCAGGACTGCAGTCTTAATAACTGTTTTGCAATCCACTAAAATGCTTCCTGTTTTACATAATTACACACCCCCCCAGCACTTTTGGTTAATAAGTTATCTAACTCAGAGAGAGGGACCTGCACATAAAATGCTGAGACTATTGCTGAAACTTACCATGTGCCATTGTGAGACTTGATTTAGCTTCCAAGGGCTGTGGGGCTGGAGCGTTCACTGAAACAGCACAAAAAAGAAAAAGTTCACAGTTCCATAATGAAAGTGTAAACATCTAAACATGATGACAACCAGACACTCCTCAAATTAATCAAGATATGTAACGGGCTATGAGGGACAGATGCTTCAAGGGACAAAGATACTACAAAACTAACCTAAGCTAATTTTTAATAATAGCTTTATTAAGATGTAACTTACCCTTTAAAAATATTCAATTCCGTAATTTTTGGCATATTCACAGAGAGCTGTGTGACCATAATTGCTTTTGAATCTTAGAACATTTTCATCACCACTACCCCAGAAATACCTGTACACATTTAGCCAATCACATTTCATTTCTCTCTTCTCCCCATCCCCTGGCAACAATTAATCTACTTTCTACCTCCATGAATGTCTTATTCTGGATGTTTCATACAGTAAATGGAATCATATTCTAGGTGGGCCCCTGTGTCTGGCTTCCTTCACTAGCCTCATGTTTTGAAGGTTCATCTACATTGTAGCATGTTTCAATAGCAGCATGTATTTTTATTAAGGCCAAGGAACATTCATTTCATTGTACGAACAGAACACTTTTTATTTATCTGTTCATTAGCTGATGGACATTTAGGTTGTTTCCACTTTTCAGCTAACATGAATAACACAGTAATGAACACTCATGCATGATAAACCAATTTTGAAGTACACTCCAATCACTGAGCTGGAAGACACCATGTGAAGACATTAACTTAGCTAGAGCCTTCAAAGAGGGGCTTACCTGAACTAAGTAAGATGAAATACTTACTCTCCATTTTAAATGTCTCCAGAAAATTAGACTCCACAGCCCTTCCAATATTTGACCATTCTTAATGAATGGCCCTCTGTTTAATCCTATCTCTAAAAATACAGGCCACAAACCAGTATTTGAGCTATTTCAGTAGGCATACATTTTTTCTTTTTTGTTATTACAATGCTGGTTAAAATGTTGAGCTCCTAACTATTGGTAAATTGCTAACAACTTCTGGAAATATGGCTTGCAAACCCATTTGCAACTTGTATAATCTAGAGATCAAGGTTTGGCAAACAACAGGTCCTGGGAAAGACACAGCTCACTGCCTGTTTTTCTTGGAATACAGCCAAGCTAATTCATTGTAGTATTGTCTATGGCTGATTTTGCACTTACAACAACAGCAAAGTTGAGGAGCTGCAAAACAGACCACCTAGTCTGTGAAGCCTACATTGGTCACTATCCAGCCCTCTACAAGGAGAAAAGAAAACCCAGAATATTAATCGTTTTCTTACAATATTATTGTAAGAGATATTGTTATGGCTGGTGGAATTAAAAGCTCTGATCTTGTTAAAACTGATCACCACCAGGTCTTCTTCCTAAAGTTAAACTATAGAATTCATTCCCTTGTGAAGGAAGAGGTAGTAAATCAGGGCTGGAATGACTAGTGTCTAAGTCACCAACAGTAAACGGATCGATAGGTCAGCCACGTCTGCCTCATATTAGACATTACAGACCCTTCCTTTTGCTGGGGATGGGGGCTGGTTTACTGCCTATCTCTGCCTTTCACTTTATGATTTGGATTTTCTGACCTTAAACTACACAGCACGTGTGCTTTCTCTTAAGTAAAAGGAAATTTCCGGCTCGGCGCCTATAGCTCAGCCGGCTAAGGCGCCAGCCACGTACACCTAAGGTGGCAGGTTCGAATCCCTAGCCCGGACCCACCAAACAACAATGACGGCTGCAACCAAAAAATAGCCGGGCGTTGTGGCGGGCGCCTGTGGTCCCAGCTACTTGGGAGGCGGAGGCAGGAGATTCGCTTGAGCCCAGGAGTTGGAGGTTGCTGTGAGCTGTAATGCCACGGCACTCTGCCCAGGGGGACAGCTTGAGGCTCTGTCTCAAAAAAAAAAAGGAAATTTCCCGGCTGTCACCAGGGCCATGGTTGTGGCTTTTAGATCCTTTTCCATGGCAAGAGAAGAAATGGGGACAAGCCAGCCGCCCTTTGTTGCCTGCTCGTCACAAAGCAGAGGCCCCTCTTGTGAAGGGACTGCTGTATATGAGCCTCCTTCCCCCAATCTGGAATTCTCTAGAGCCAGTGGCATCCAATTTTTGGACCATATGCTCTAGTCAGTAAAAGTTACCTCCAATCGGCACATATGTCATTTATTTAAATTCTACATATCCTATGATACAAATATGTATATTTTAAAACATGAAAAATATTTGATTTTAACATAGAAAAAGAGCTTAATAACTACTTTCTCTTATCCCAACAGATCATTGTGCATATCCCAGGGGGCCTGAGCATGCCATTTATAGAAAACTGCCCTAACTAAATATAGTTTGGGTGTGTTTTTCTTACTGGTATATTTGAGTTTAGTTGGCTGACAAAGATTTTTTTTGTTCAAATAATTTAATCTCTGGACCTTTCATTCCTTTTCTGAAATGTATTTTTTTCTTCTTTTTAAAAATTTCACAAGATACATGAGTCTAGCTTCTCCTCTCCCCTTAGCTCTACTCTTGGCCTTAAACTCCCCATTACCCCCCAACCTCTTCAGTTTCAAGGTGCAACATCAAGAAGCTTCCAGAGGCCAGGCATGGTGGCTCACACCTGTAATCCCAGCCCTTTGGGAGACCAAGGTGGGATGATCACTTGAGGCCAGGAATTGGAGATTGCAGTGAGCTATAACTATGGCCTGTGTGACAGAGTGAGACTTGGTCTCTAAGTGAGAAAAAAAAGAAAAAAAAGGAGCTTCAAGAAGCACCTGAAAAAACTGAGTATTCAAAACATTGGTGTTCTCCAGTCAATTGTGCCAAATTCCAAAACATGCTTACTCATGTCCACCTGTTACTATGTGCAGTCCCTTCATGATTCCCACCCCACGCGTGTGGTGTCCTCACTCAGTGCCAGCCTCAGTCCTGGCTCCTCCAGGGCAGATCCCATCCCCACCATCACCAGCTCCC